GGGGGCAGGGCTGGCTGGCATGTGGTGCTGGGGGATTGAACCGCGGTCCCTGATGTTTTGCTAAGCTTGTTCCAAGCAGGTGCTCTAGACCACTGAGCCATCTCTCCAGCCCTGACCCATCTATTTTACTCTTGAAATACACACCTGAAAAAAATGAAAACATGTTCACACAAAATACTGAACATGGTCATTCACAGGAGCATTATTTATAATAGCTTCAAGAAGTAGAAAAAAACCCCAATGTTCAAGTGATGAACAAACTGGTATACCTATACAAGGGAATTCAACACTAACTCTTAAAACCACACAGTATTACAACACTGTGTTATCACATAAATGAACCTTGAAAATATTAAGTTAAGCCACTGTTAAAAGATCAAACATCCTCTAACTGCTCAAAACCAACAAATGTACAGAGACAAAGATTAGTGGTTGCCTAGGGCTGGTCATTGGGATGAAGTACAGGAGTAACTGCTAATGGATATTGGAGGGTTTTAAAGGATAATATATATGTTCTAAAACTGACCACAGTGATGCCTTCAAAATGTTGTGACTACACCTAAAAGTAAAAATCACCGAATAATGTTATTTTCAGGAGGTAAGTTTTGACAGGTGAATTGTAACTCAGTGAAGTTGTTCAAAATCATGTTTGGACTTTTAAAAGAAATAAGGTCTCACTCTTTATGTTTACAGTCTAGTATAAATATAAATACACAACTGCAATCCAAGGCAAAATGGCTTTAACTCTATAATAGATAAAACAAAAAGGTCTCTGATAAACCTAAGAAAAAAATTCTTTATTAATGGAGAATCTAGAATGGTTCTTAGAAAGTGACAATCCTAGCATTTTGGAAGGCTGAGGCAGGTGGACTGTAAGTGTGAGACCACCTGAGCAACTGAGCAAGACCCTGTGTCATAATAAAAACACAAAAAAGGGTGGGGATGTTGCTTAGTGTGAAGGTCCTGGGTTCCAATGCAGTTCTACAAAAGGCCAATCAGATCTGGCTAGAAAAGAAATGGCAAGATTTCAAAAGGCCAAAATATAAAAGAATAGTGTTTTCAAGTAGAGAAAATGAAGAGCACAGAGCAGATGTATGTGAGAATGCACACCGATCTGAGCAGGTGGAAGCACATATGTGAAAAAAGGCAGCACAGGAAGGAACGAGAATGGGAGAAGGAAAGAACCAGTGGCGAAATGCTCGGAAAGTTTCAATGGCCCCCAATTTGAGAGATTAATGTCATACAAAAGAGTGTAAACATTATTATTTTTTTAGCCAGAGCTTTTCAAAGTATGTGAAACAGAAAGTCCGTCCAAACAGCTCATATCTAGAACACACAGTTATGAGTTCCAGCATATGTAGCATACTAGATGCACAACCACTGGTCAACAGTTGCTAAGATTAGGTCAGTGGTTGGATTTCATGACTCAACAAATTTTCAAACAAAATCTGTGGACTCACATAAAGCTGTCAACCTTCCTGTATTTATTAATTTGAAATAAATCCACCAGAAAGGTTTTCTTTAACTTTTATTAGTGTGTGTGTGTAGTACCTAATGTTTATATTCCTGCATAGAGTTGGTACATGGACATAATACAGCATAACTCTTTTTATCTGCCCTCCAATCATTTCTTTGGGTACATTTTTTTTAATTTACTTTTTTATTTTTGGTGGTACCAGGGATTGAATTCAGGACCTTGTGCTTGCCAGGCAAGCACTTATTCCACTGAGCTATCTCCCCAGCCCCTTGGGTACATATTTGCAGTACATAATGTCTACCTTTCTTGTTTGTACCTGGTATGTAAGTTTCTTAGCTGCCCTGTATTTACCATCCTTTAATAAGAGTTTTAATGCCTAATTTGCAAAACAGAATTAAAAGAATTCACATTTCACTGCCTTATCTAGCTCTATCAGTTTAAAGAAAAAAATCAATTTTAACCAAACTACACTGCTGTGGGTAATCAAAAAAGGCTGACTTTTAAAACACCGTTAGTAGTATTCTGGTGCTGAGCTCTCAAAGATATAATTCCAAAGGCAAGCACACTCTGCAAAATAAAATTTTTACAGTAGTTTAGGATATGTTAAAATTTATTTCACATGCAATTTAAACATTTTACCTCAGACTCTATAAAATGTAAAAAGATGTTGTATAATTACCTTCATATCCGTCTCTCTTGGAATGTGGTCCTTGAAATCTTCAATTGAACTTACAAGGAAAGGAATGTGATAGGACAAGACCTAGCCATAGGAAAAAAAAAGAATATATAGTTTTAAATAGTAACCTGTAAATTCTGAAATAGTAAATAGGATTTATTCTTTTTTGTATATTAATCACTCATGATTTTTCTAAAGTGTTAAGATACATGGAAATGGAATATATTTCAAGTTAAAATATGTATAGTCAAAATACAAAATGTTTTAATGAATTAATGTTAAAAAAATACAATAACCAAGTAAACTTTATATCATCCAAATTTTAGTATCAAAATAAAGGTTAATTTAAAAAAGCTCCCTCTCATCCATGTTATTTTCTACAGCTATTAAAGCTGGAATTCTAGTCATAACACTGTCAATTGTAAATTCAAAAGATAATTTCTAGGGCTGACCAGATAGCTCAGCAGACTAAAACACCTGCTTAGACAGAGCACAGCAGCCAGGGTTCGATCCCCAGTGTGCTGGGCCAACCCACCCCAGGGGCACACTGAGATAGCGATTAAGATGGGGCATGGTAGTGCACCCCTGTAATCCCAGCTCTTATAGGGAGGCTGAAAACAGGAGGATCACTACACATCTACACAGTGACACCCTATAGACCCTGTACCAAATACATAAAAAATAAATAAAATTAATAATTTCTGGATAACTGAAAACAATCACTTGTATATAGAGTATGTGCTCATAATGGTTCTTACGTCTCTAAGTGCTTCTTGTGCCAATGATCGGAAGGATAATATCACACCAATTATTGTCATCCTCTTCAATACACTGTCAACAGCTAAATTTGAGTAGGGAGAAGGGAAGAAAAAAGTGAACTAGATTATTTTTTAATCATGGAAAAAATATGAAGTCATAAAATTTCCATAAAGACATTATTAATAGCAATTTGATTAAATTAACAGATACTGAGAGGAAAGACACTGGGTTGGAAATGGGTGACAGGGGAAATGCTGCCTTTCCTGCTCTCTCCAGGAAATAGTGAGATGCAGAGGAATCTGGAGGGGCAGTGAAGAGGCACTTATTATGTCCCAGATTAGAAAGAAAACCAGCCCACTCAACCACCCTGTTTCAGGCAAAGCTAACTACAGCTGTGGTGCAAAATGGCTACATTTAAGTCCTGCACATAAAGGGAAATGTCGACATACATTCCTTTCTTCAACCCAAATTGCAGTGTTTCCTCAAAAGGGAAATTTATAGTTTGTTTTGTTTGTTTTTAGATAGGCTAGCCTTGAACTCAGTAGCTAGTCTGGCTGGTCTCAAATCTGAAGCAATCCTCCTGACTTAGCCTCCTGAGTGCTGGGATTACAAATACATGCCACCATGTCTGGATTCAAATGAAAATTCAGAACTTCAAAAGACTTGGGACTGACAAAAAGATAACAATGTTTGTTTTTGTGTAATATATTTTTCAGGAAGATATAATTACCTATCAGGAAAAATCAAACTGGTCATTTTGATTTAGTATATGTATAGATGGAGAGGCTCTACTTCAGTCAAATAGGTCACTTATGAATGTGAGTCGACCCACTGTGTCATCCATACAGAAATTCTGGCTGGCCAAAAATGTCACCTGAATTCCACGTTTTTGCAGGATGTGATGAACGTAACCAAGTGCACTAAAGTACAGGCCTTTAACTTAACATCTGTTCACACAGCTGAAACGAATTCAGAGTACATGGATCTTCTCTTATACACAGAAGTGAGATGGCTTTCCAAAGGTAGATCACTGGTCAGAGTTTCTGACATAAGAAAGCTGCTCCAGAGATTTCTTTTACAAAAGCAGCACATTTCATTGACCCATTCTGTGTCACTGAAATTCAACCCACCCAAGGAGCACAATTTTCCACTTCAAGGGAAGACAACCATGTTCAAGTCACTGAGATAACTGGCTGCACTCAAAGCCAAGCTGGAATTACAGGGGAAATGGGTGAGCTCCAAGATTTCTGATATGTTTCAAATACAAGATTCTGAAAGACATCAAGCCAGGGACTTCTCTGAGCTGGTGCAGGATCACCTATGTCAGCTTGCAGAATGGTCAGAACACTACTGCCCAATTACAGAAGATCCCTGAACTGAGAAGGAATGGGTCCGTGACCCACGTATGAATACACCAGGCAAGTCAACTTTGTGTTAGAAGAGAATCAACTGCATGAGAACACAAATGATGGTAGCCTGGAAAGTACACTTGAGACAACTTCAAATCTCTATACTATCTTGATGAAAGACAAAGCAGAATATCTGAGTTTGTCACAAAAGCACTAAAAGGCCTGCTTCCACTTTCAACATTCTATCACTGTGAAGCAGGGTTTTTGCAATGGCAGTGGCCAAAACAAGGCTATGGGGTACACTGGACATAAACAACGAATTTGAGGTGTCACTGTCTCCCATCACCAAGAGATGAGGCCATTCAGATGTAGGAAAACAAGCTCAAGGGTCCCACTCATTCTGAATCATATAATAATATATAATAATATATATAATAATTTCATTACATATTGCTATGTAGTAATAGAAATGAGGTGCACAATAAATCAAATGTACTTGGATTACTCCAAAACCACACCAACACCATGTGTAGAAAAATTGTCCTCCAGACTGCTGCATGGTGCCAAAAAGGCCAGGATCACTAAGAAAATGATGGTCCTAGCCACAAGAAAGTCAGAAAACAAGAGGGACACTGAGATTTGCTCGTCACCCAGAAAACCCAAAACATAAAGACAAATTCCAGACTGCCTCACAATTTAAATCTATTTTTTATCAATTAAAATATATTTTCTTTTTTGACTGGATTTTTTTTTTTTTTTTTGTGGAATCAGGGATTGAACTCAGGCCCTTGTACTTGCCAGGGAAGCGCTTATTCTACTGAGTCATCTCCCAGCCCAAAATACATTTTCTTAATAGGATATGTTAACCAACTGTGAAACAAAACTTTCAAAATAACACAGGCGTATGGACAGGACGTATGCTGATGCAGCACGGGAAAGGATCAGGATAAAGGAGGACAGTGAGTTCAGCCAAGCAGAGCAGCCTTCCATACTCCCTAAGCAAGTCACTCTGCAGTGGATCCACCTTATTGCCAAACCACAAACATGGTTTAATAAACTCTCTTTTAAGAACAAATTTAATGAACATGATTAACAATGATTTAGGGGGCCTGGCCCTAGCTCAGTCCTTTAAGTGGCTGCTTCCACAAAGCTGTCAGCCTCAGGTTGCTGGAGTTCGAACCTCACAACTCTCCCGCTGGCCAAAAGTGCCCTGAAGGCATTCGAGGAACAAAAAAAACAAAACAAAAAAAAACCATTATTCCATTTACGGGCTGGTGAGATGGCTCAGTGGTCTAAAGCACCTACTAAGAACAAGTTTAGCAAAGCACAGGGACCGCGGTTCAATCCCCCAGCACCACATGCCAGCCAGCCGCGCTCCCTGGTGGGCTGAGCTGGCCACACACACACACACACACACACACACAAATAAATAAAAGTATTTCAAAACAAAAAAAAAAAAACAATGATTTAATTATTTAGATTTGGTTTTGGTAAATTTCAATGTTACAAATCATCACTTTTATAAGCAAAATTCACATAAGCAGAATTTAGATAAAAGATGTTGGGTTTATTTTGAAAACTTGCAAATTCTCTTTGGGACTTTAAAGAATTTTTTTTGGTCTCAATTTCACAAATGGGAGAATAAACGAAGATAATAAACATTTCAGTGTAAACTGCTTCTAACAAGAAGATACAATCAAAAGATTATTACTAGGAAAGTTAAAGGGGATTAAGGCTACATGGGTGGTCAGTTGAGTATTACAAATGAGAGAAACATGAAAAAAGCAAAAACTAGTAAAAATGAAAAAAAGTGCAAGTACAAATAGGAAAACGGCACTTAAAAAAATTTATTTATTCATGCTCTTCTTCCCTATAACCTCCCGTCAGTCTTCTCTTTCATTCTATTTTTAAAAGTATCATACAAAAAACCTGACCTTTCTGAACAGAAAGGTGCCTAGTGCTAGGAACTGTAACCTGGAGAACTGTGTTACCATCCTCAGCGCTACTGTGAACAGCTCTATCACCCAAAAAGCTCCCTCGCTGTTTTGCGTCTATAGTTCTAACAACTACTGATATACTCTGTAAAACAATCTTTAGTGTTCTTTAATTTAATAGTACTTTTTTAAATTTAATAGCATTTTTTAAGCTTTTATTTTTTAAAATCATTAAAATACTAGTGATTTGCTCAAAGTGATTTGCTTGAAGCATTTAAAGGAAAAATATCAGATGGAAGTGTCGCTTTAATTTTCTTTAAATCATTACGCCTATTATTGAGTGGGGACAGAAATCAGTGCTGTGACCATCCTAAGCATGCACTTTATCCTGAGCTATAACCTCAGCTGCCAGGATTTTTATTTGGGGAAAAAAAAAGTCTTTCTTGGTTTTCTCTGACACAATGATAATTTTATTCAGGACTTGACTCATTTTTCAGTGCTATTAAGACTTTCAAAGTAATCAGTAAATATAGCTTTTACAACTTTAAAAGTTCAACTATAAAAAAGGAAAAAAAACCCTTTATTTTAAAGTGCATCTAAAAATGATTCAACTAAAGACACTTCAATAAATGCTTAAGATTCTGTTCATTTACATTACCCTCTCACAATCAGTATCAAGAATACATTTAAAGAAAGTGTTAAGATATAGGGTGAGGTTTCCATGCAACAAGCTGTAAGTAATCAATACAAAGGTACAAATTAGATTCACTCAACTACCTGGATGAATGAACCTCAAAAAACACAATGCTGAGTGAAAGGAGCCAAACATAAACTTAATCTATCAACAGAAATCACATCAGTGGTTGTCTGAGTTTAGAGGCCAGAGGCAGAAGTCTGAATGGGGAAGGCAGCAGGCAACTTTCTAAGGTGACAGAATTGTCCTGTATCTTGATGACAGCAATGTTTACACAGATGTATGTACATGTAGGTTTACTGCATTAAATTTAGTAACTTCAAAAACTGATAATACCATATTTTCTAAATTAAATGCAGTAAATGTATGGTCAAAAAAACTTCTGAAATAACCAGATCCTTGACTATAAAAATTCTTTAGTTCTCTTTCCAAGAGTATTTTTCCTCATTTACTGCTTGTATTTATGTCACAAATTTTAGGTAAAAGATAAATTACTGTGTGCCAAGATCTTCTTAATATTGATAAAAACTAACGAGTTACCCACATGACAATCTCTTAAAGAGTGCGGCCATCTGGTCTGGTTTGTCAAAGCTGGTCCTCATCTGTGTTAGCACATCAACATTCTCCACCACAAGTTTCTAAAAAACAAAAAATCCTAGGTCAGACACATACCTCTTTGTGAAAATAAAAACACACTTGGAAATTAGTATTTGGCAAGGAGGGAACACAATTCATGAAATCCTGATACTCTACATTTTTGTTGTTTCAATAAACAAACAAAAAATTCTTTAAGTCTTAAAATTTTTTTCAGCTTGAAAATTCAAAAAGAATTTAAGAAAAACAAAAAGTTAAATAAAGGAACACCTTATACTTAGATACAGAAGTGCTGTTAATGTAAAGTAAACACTACAGTGGACAGGGAGCGCAACAAATCTGAACCAAAATAAAATAAAACTGCTAAAGATAAAGCTGACCAAAGATAGGCTAAATGGGTATGTCTTCAGGAAACAAGCACATCATTGGATGTACACAATCTGAGGCAGAGTAACTTACAGTATGGTCCTACTTAATGGGAATTATATGAAAACCATGTTTCCCAGCACAGGAAGCACTGAGAGGAGGGAAGAGGAAAGAAGGAAGAGATAAAAATAAGGGAAGGGAGTGAAGAACAGCTATCCAAAGAACATATAATTCATTAAGAATACTTTTGCTAACACAACTACTGGAAAAATGACTGCATTTAAACTGCAACTAAAAATAACAACTTTTATTCTGGCAGAGATAAGCCTAGACAGTAATAAACTGAGTTTTTAAAACAATGATAGAAAAAAAGTATAACATCCTACTCTGTATTACAACACTGTTCTTGTGCCAAATGCTTTTATAATTAATTTTATCACTATCATGTCCCTACTTTGTCCTAATTCAAATGAATTAGTTTATTTCAAGTTTCTGTATTTCTACTAAATTGTTTTAAATCTCCATTTTTACCTTTTCTCATACTCTTTACTACACGTGACAATCACTTGTGGAACCCTTTCTGAATATTTTTCTTTGTTTTATGTATTTATCCAGGGTCCCCTAGGCAATTCGGTCTCCTAGTAGTCCTCCTGCTTTCAGCCTCCCCAGCACTGGGACTTCAGGTATGCACCACCATGCCCACACAAAGGGGCAGGGCTGGTGCGACACGTGGTGCCAGGGATTGAACATGGGTCCCTGCGCTTGCCTAAGCAGGTGCTTAGTCTGCTGAGCTACTTCAGCAGCCCACACTTTCTAAATATTATGTCCATGTTTCATGGCACCTTGGTGGGAAGATGCAACTGGAATGATGGCAGTTTGTTACAAACAGATGTGTGGTAATAAGTGATTTACATTCGGGCTGGGGAGATGGCTCAGTAGAATAAGCGCTTCTCTGGCAGGCGCAAGGGCCTGAGTTCAGTCCCCGGCTCCACAAAAAAAAAAAAAAAAAAAAAAAAAAAAAAAGATTTACAGGAAATAGGAAAAACTGCAGAACAATTATAGAAATAACTTTTCCTAAAATACTAGGTAGGGGCCGGCTTGATAGATCAGTGGACTACAGTGCCTGCTTAGGCAGAGTGTAGCAGCAGGGTTCCATTCCTGGTGTGCAGTGCTGGCCCTGCCTCTGGGGTGCTAAGACAGCTATTGAGACTGGGCATAGTGACGCACACCTGTAATCCCAGCACTTGGGATACTGAAAGCAGGATAAACACTACGAATCTGATCTATGTAGTGAGACCCTGTACACCCTGTAGACCTTGTCATAAATACAGAAAAATAAATATCACTAGGGAATTGTGATACTAATCCAGATAATTTGTCATTGTTCCTAATCAGAAATTCAGCTCTCATCACACTCATTTGCTGCTATCGACTGCTAAAGTAACACTGGTGTCTCTGAGTCACTTCAATGTCTGTCTAAAACTTGATTTGATATGCACTCAATGGGGTTGTGGGGGAATCAAAATAGCATTTGTTCAGTACTTACTCCATACCAAATATTATTCTGAGTACCTGAAAACTTCATGTGCACTCTCTCAAAGTGAAAAGGTTGGTAAATTTAAATAACTGCCCAAGTCAAAGCAGTGGCAAGACTGAGACTCAAAATAATCTGAAGTGAAGGGCTGAGTTCTTAATCAATGGACAATGTTGCCTTTTCTTTTTAAATGTTTAAACATAATAAGCTTTTATTCAAAATGACTCTTACTATCTCAGCAAAACATCATGATTGTGAGAACTACCTTAATCTGTATGTCTGTTTTCAGTGAATTACATGATCTTGTTCAGAATTCTATGTTACATTTGAAAGGAAAACTATCAATGCTATGGATAATGTTCTTAATAAATTAAAAATGTGAGGCACAAATAAAAATAACCACCAAAGAGTCTAGAAAGAAAGTCATCTAAAAACATTTTATGGTTCTTTTTCATTGTTCATTAAGACCCCAAAATTTTAGTAGTCTAAGTTAAAATTCTCTCAAAAGCTAGTTAATGTATATTATACAGACTCCTTCAACAGAAAAATCACTTTAGCACTGATGTATTTTGAAAAGGCTAAAAGATAATTTCGAATGCTGTTCGTCTTAGACATTTTTTCTAAATCCTACATATTCTGAAAATAAATTTACCTGTTTTTTAAACAGTTTATGATAAGAAGAATTACTGAATGTGGTTTAGTGGTAGACTGTTGGCCTAGCACGTATGAGGTCCTGGGTTCAATTCTCAGAACCAAGAAAGGAATGAAAGAAAAAAAACAGAGTATACACTAAGCCTAATCATGTTCATATCACAATTTGTGGGCAGCAACTATACTTGAACTATAAACTGAATAAATCGCTGCAATTTTGAATCTGATCATTCAAAGAAAAGTACCACAATACAACAGAAGAAAGGTGTGAAGATTAACGGTACCCCCAAAGTCTCACATGTGGAAGGTGATGGGGTGAGCACTAATGCCAACCGCTGTAAGGAGATAGCCCAATGGAGGCAGGACCCGGAAGGCGTACTCCTGCCCCATCTCCTCCCACCTCTCTCCTGGCTGTCCTGTGAGGAGCAGCAGCTATCGCCATTCTGGCCCTTCTACCCTGGTATTTCTGCCTTGGACCTGGCTGACCACGAACTACAAATGAAAACCAGGATAAGCCTCTCCACTTTTTAAGTTGTGGATGTTGGATATCTTGTCAGGAACAAAAACTGAGTCACTGCTGGTTACAGAAGCCCTAGAATGTTCTAAGCTCAGTTTGATGGGAGATTCTGGTCAGAGCTCAGAAAACCAAAAGGCTAACTGAAATGTGGAAGCAAAGACTCCTGTTGAAGGAATCACTATGTATGTATGTATGTATCTATCTATCTATACTAGCTTTTGAGAGAATTTTAACTTAAGACTACTAAAATTTTGGGGACTTATGAACAATGTAAACAAGGTTGGTTGGTTGGTCAGTTTGTTTTTTTGTTTCTTTGTTTCTTTCTTTTTGCAGAACGAGGGATTGATCCCCGTCCTCTTTTTAAAAATTAATTAATTTTTTTTTCAGGTTTCTGATGGAAACAAGGACTCTACTGACACTTGGACTCAAGAACATGTACTACGCTCTGGCAGAAAATAGGTTGACATTTTGCCCCTGTCCTAGGATTTTGCAGGATACAAAGTTTAAGGCTCGCAGAGGGAGGCCACTGTTTCTGCTACTCCTCCCCTGGCTCCTCTGCTCTCTGCTACCACCATGAATGGACACCCTCTGCCCTGTGCCGCTCTGCCTTGGAGCCAGTCAAGTATGGACCGAAACCTTCAGTAACTGCGAGCTAAATGAACCTTTCCTTTCCTTAAAAAAAAAAAAAAAAAAAAATCTCTCTGGCAGAGAGAATTTCAAAACAGTCCAACGTTCAGACTGTAAGTAAAAGGAATACTTACAACAGCTTTCAACCAGATCTACAGTGACAATCAGGAACAAAAAGCCGACAAAGTTTTTAGTTTCTCCTACGAGGAAGTGCCTCCAAATATGGAGCAAAGGAGAGCACAGCTGCTGAACAGATCAGCATTAAAAAGAAGCCAAGCTCCCGCTCAGGCAGGGGCAGCAACCAGGGCTGGACCGCAGTGCGCAGTGCCGGCCCCACCCCCAGGGCAGGGAGACTGGGGGCGGTCACGCGCGCCTGCAAACCCAGCACTTGGGAGGCTGAAAAAGGAGAATCAGTACAAGTCTAATCTGTGCAGTGAGTCCCTGTAGACCCTGCACTAAAAACAAAACAAAACAAACAAAAAGCCAAATATTTTGCATCAGGATAATAGGAAAAATGGCTTAAAGAAATCTCAGTAATTGAAAAGCTTCTCCACCTTTCACAAGGTCAAAGGTGCAAAGCTGTAAAGCTTTCATTTGTAAAGACAGGCCCTGGGCTTGCTGTTCAAGTGTTAGCTAGAGAACTGACTCCCAAGAATCCATCATAGTACCCCGTGATCTAGCCACTTGAAGGCCTCTGCTGCCATGATCCAAGGGCAGTGGTTACTACTCGAGCTGCCAGCAGACCTTAGCATTATCCATGTTGTTTTACAAGCATGCAAAATTTAAGGTTTATAGGGTCACTGAGGTTTCTACCCACATTTTTTTTGTCTACTCACATTTTCTGATGAGGCAAGGGAAGCCATACAATGTGCCTGAGGTCAGTGAGTGAAGCTATAAGAATGTAACTGAAAGTACAGTGGAGACCCCAGGAAGTTGGAGATGTCAAGAATATGGAACATCTGCTGAGGAAAGTCACAGGCAATATAAGAAAGGCCATGAGAGAGGTAACTGGCAATTTCAGAGAGGCAGCGCTGCCCAAGTCATTTGGAGTTCACGTGTGACCATAATATGCTCTGGGTGCTGCACATGGTTGTCCTGAGTTAATGGGCCTCTTTGCTCCCATTCCTGTCCGTTCGTCCGTCTGTCCATCCATCCATCTATAACAGGACTGTCTATTCTGTGCCATTATATGCTAGCAGTGCTTAGCTTTCTTTCTGATTGTTATAGGGACTTAGAGCTAGGAGTCTGCCTCAAGTGTCAGAGGAAACTTTGGAAATAAACTTTTTAGCAGTATAGTAACTGTTGAAATTTTGTTGATTCTTAAGGAGATGGACTTAAATGTATTTTTACATAATGAGATGAACATGAGACTTATGGGAACCAGGAGCAGAATGGTATGGCTAATGTTCTTCCAAATTCTCATGTGTGGGAATGGTAACTGAGTCCTGGGGTTGCTAAAGCTGACCACCTGCTGTTAGGGGTAGGTCTTAGAGGCAGGTCACTGAGACAGGACCTGGAAGGGTATATTCTTGTTCTAGCTCCTTCCCTCTTTCTCTACTTTCTGGTTGCCATGGAATAAGCATCTGTCTTCCACTGACACCCTTCCACTAACCTGCTTCTGCCTCTAAGCCAGTTCAGAGTGAAAACGTAAACCAAAATAAACCTCTCCTCTTTTCACTTGTGGGTATTGATTGTTTTGACTTGGTAACGATAAAGTAACTACAACAGAGGCTTAATTAAAAAGCTACAAAATCTGAATTTCAGTCTCCTTTTGCAAGTCAAATACCCTCTCATTCTGCTCCCTGCTACTTCTAAACCAGAGATAACTAAACTAAAATAGTATGAAAAGGCTCTTCTAACTCTTTAATTTCAGTTACACATGAGCACTGTGATGTCAGGCTAAAGTAGTATCTTAGGTTTTTTGTACAAATTCCCAAAACTTTAATCAGGAACTGTTCAAAAAATAAAATTGATAAAGACTAAATTACCTTAAGTTCAGCCACCTGTGATGAAATGTGCCACATAAGGCTTTCACTTAGGAATTTCATTCCATATGGACCTAGGAGTTCTGATAATGACCTCATTTCTGAAAAGAAATATAATTAACTTTATACTTCTGACAGAGCAAACACAATAAAAAATGAATGCTAACAAAATGGAACCTGGGCATAGTGGCATTTTTTTTTTTAATGTATCTGGTACAGGGTCTAACTACACAGCTTGGACTTGTAGTGATCCTCCTGTTTTCAGCCTTTCCAGCCTGGGATTATATGCATGCACTACCATGCCCGGACTCAGTGGCCCGAGGTGGGGTGGCATGTGGTGGCACCCTGCGCTTATCTAAGCAGGTGCTTAGCTAAGCTAGCTTGCTGCCTGTGGTACATGCATCTAACTCTAGCACTGGGGAGGCTGAACAGAACTGCTAAGTGTTCACAGCAAGGCTGGACTACATAATGAGTTCAAGGCAAGTTTGAACTAGAGTGAGACCTGTCATAAAAACAAACAAATAAGTGACTGTAATGCCCCTTTACATAATTTATTAATGTAAAAGTTTGAGAAAAATATTTGTAATAAAAAGACAACATAAGTTGCAAACAATTCTAGGATGAGATTATGCATAAAATTCAACAAAATTAGAACAGAATAAAAAGTCAAAACCCAAGACAAAGTTTCCAAGTGTAACAAGGCTTTTAAATTTTGTAAACCATGCTACAGTATTATTTACCTGATATGTCAGAATATTCCTCTGCATTGAATGTTAATTCATTTTCTGTGGGTAAATTCACAAATGCTTTCATTGCAGGGAAATAAGCTATATGGCCATTGCTGACTTGCCTTAACAAAGTTTCCAAATACCTAAAGAGAAAAGTAAATTTATAGCTCAGAGAAACTGTTAAATTCAAAATTTATTGTGGCACACATCCTGCATGTAATTTCAAGTTGAATAATAACAAGAATGAGTGCTTATCTATAAGAATATTTTTCCCTATACAGTTCATTATTAAAAACAAAACAAACTCATTCCAGATTTCCTTACCAATTTGTATACAGACTTGTAATGGTAGGCTCTCCATGACTGTCCAAATGTTGTGTTTGTTGAAGAAGAACATTATTAAATACTCTTGTAATATCGATCTGAACATAGTTTTCTATTGACTGGAGTACAGTCATATATGCTCTTACACTTGTTAGAAGCTCTGATGGTTTTGCAATTTCTTGTGTGGCTTGATTATACATTGTCATCCCAACAATTGATCTAGGGAAGGAAAGAAAAGAATAAAAAGAAGATTTGCCCTGATTTTCTGATTAAGATTATGGAACCATTTAGGAAAGTGACCACTGATGTACAGTGTGCCTACAGAGAGTCACCTGGAGAGAAAAAAAAATCTCTCAAGCTTTCATAGAATACAACTTGGTCAAGCAATGGCCATAACTCATCCAGATGGCTGACACTGACAAAAAACCCAAGAGGTGCTGTACTTGGTTCCAAGCTAAATCCTGAGGAAGATTTAACTGATCCTGTTAAGATAGGAAAAGATTGATTTATTTACACAGGTCTTGATTTAACTTGGTCTTAACCATCAATAGAAAAGTATAACCATGAGAAGTGAAAAAGCAATAATGTAATATGCTAGCTGTAAAAGATTCAAATCGCTCAAAACTTCTTAAAACTGCCAGCTATACTGAGTTATCAGTAGTACTGTTATGCACTACTGGACTACACTGGGTTAAATTGCTATATACAGGTACCAAAATCCTTGGACTGGCATCAAGAATGCAAAGGTCTTCTAAAGAGTTCTCCAAAGACAGCTTCTCCAACTGCAACAGCCCATCACTCACCCAACAAAACAAAAAAAACAGATGTTGGGAGCCTCTGAAGCTGAAAATTGGTCAACTATGTGAGAACAGGACTAGGCCTCAGTGCCTAAAGCAGTCAAGATACCTCCCAATGTTAGTTCTGAGAAAAGCATCCTGCCTAGTTAATGTCAGCTATTAGTCACTAGGCTACCTTGTGTCATGTGATACTAACTTTTGCAAAGGTGTAAACACCCCTATTCTTGTTCTGAAGGTGGTTTGTCAATCAGGCAACAGGCCACACCTGACCTCAAAAAAAATTTTTTTTCCATTTATGTAAATAATTTATTTAACCTATTGTTATCTAATATTAAATGAGCAATAAAATGAAAACTTAAAAAGTTTTTTTACAAAGCCATGAAATTACTGTCATTATCATCCCAAGAAACATTCTACAAAAAGAGCAAATACTTAAAGCCTAAAATTAAGTGGGACTACAGATAATTTAAAAAATCCTAAGAAAATAAGTGACATAAGCATTACACAGGTTTAAAAACTGTTTAATATGACAAGTTGTCTGTAGCAAGGATAGTGGGTTATTCAGTCCATGGTCTGAATTTGATACTTTTGCCAGATATAACAGGGTTCACTGCAGGTCAGGCAAGGCAACATATGAATTTTACGGTTCTTTAATCATTCACAAAACATTAAAATACAGAAATTGAATAAGGCTGGAAGGAAACACAAATTTTAAAGTGTTTCTTTATGTGATCTTTTTCTACAAAGCCAACCCTGATTTCACTTAAGCTCTACAGCACTAAACCTGAAGATTTTAAACTTACATTTGTAGAGATGAATCATTAAAAACGAATTCCATACAAGACAGAAGCCAAGAAGAACAGACTCAAAATGAAAACTGCTATCCTTTCATATCATCTAAATCCTAAGCTGAGCTTGCACAATCAGCAAAATCAAAACCTAACACTCACAAGCTATTTATCCTACTTAAAAACCTTCCCCATGGGGCTGGAGAGATGGC